ATTAAACAGTTCATATACTCTGAATTTTTTTACACACAGGAATACATGGAGCATCACAAGTGGGCACTCAGACACATCCATGGACCACCTTGATGGCTAAAATATGCCTCAGAATTTTAATTTAGTTCTACAATTTCTCCATGATATGAATATGCAGTTTAGGGGCTAAGGTTTCTTAGGAGATGAGTTTTTCCTCACATGAAGAAAAGACAGAAGAGGAAAAGTCTGGCTATTCTGCCTCATGTCTTCTGGAGCTATATATATGCACATGCCCCTCTGTCCACAGGGCTCTCTGTGAAGGCACAGCCTGGCTCCAGGACTGTCAATTTTTTTGCAGAAAAATTCCCATGTGATAAGCTTGCACAGGCAGCAGGGTGGTCTGATCTTACCTGAAGTTCATAGCACAGCAGCCATATACTGTTTATATGAAATAACAGTAAGATTATAGAAAAGGTGAGGGGTGGTTTTCCCTTGTCTAGTAATTGAGCAAGCCAGGTGTTTTAATCCCTTTTACAATGTATTTCTAAGCAGAACATATTACTTGTCGGCTACTAAATACTTTAATGGCGTATTCTCATACCTCAATAACAGCCAGTCCAAAGGCGATCCCCATAATTATGACCAGATGGTCTTTTATGTATTTGACAATCACTTCTCCACAAGGCTGAAATTAAGACAAAATGATTAATTACAGGTAAGCAATATTATCCTAATATTATCCTAATACTACAAATGCATCTGCTAAAATAACTCTCCCATGCTTTCTCTCTTTAACTCAGTGTTAAAGAAAGGCTATTTGCATTTACTTTGGCTTGTTGCTAATGAAAACAAAGAACACAGCTATGTGTACCTTATGCTCTGAGAAAGATATCTAGTCATTGCCTTCCCAAATACGAAGATTAATTCAGTAGCTGACCATAAAAAGATAAAGTTTCAAACAAAGACCATTGTAATGACTAATGTTTGCATGATTTTCAGTTAACAAGGAAAGAAGTGTTTCTTCTTACTTTCACTTCATAAGCATTCTCTGCTAGGAAAGAGCCAATGCAGCCATGACCAGATCGGAAAGAGAACTTAATTTTCCCACCAATCTGATCTTTGGATTTGAAACTTGAAGGATTATTATTAGAATCAGGCTCAACTAAAAATATTTGGTCATAAAAACTGGCTTAAAAATTAATTTTGTCAAATGTTTGATGGCCTTGGGCTGGTTGTGGAAGCAAGAGAGTGATCATAACTGAAGTTCTACGCAGAACTACTCTCCTTTTGAGTATATGCATATATTTGTTAAAATAACTACATCTTCTCCAGGCATTGACAATACTTCTGCACACTGTAATGAAACCCAAGTACAGCTTAAATTCATCAAAATTACATTACTGCTACACTACAGCTACCTTCCCCCTGAATATAGTTATATTCTTTCACCGTATTTCCTGCCTCACAATAGAAGAAGACCCGTATCTTCTTGTTTATCTAAAAAATGCTCTCATTTAAGCCGACTCAGAATAGCACAGACCTTCAAATTTTTTTTTCCCAGATCACAAGAGTTGGATGTCTTTACTATCGTCTCACACTACTATGAAATCTTTGAGTTCATGTGAACAACATCTTGCACCTGCCGAATTTCAGTGATGGCTTCTCATGTGTCTTTTGAGGGTTTGCCCAAGCCAAAAATGTGGCCAAAACAGCCTCTCTGTATACATCTTGTTTCCAGATTGGGTTCTGTCATCCTCTACTTAACCAGACTGTTCCTTTGCTTTAAAAGAGTATTTGCTTCTGTGGGACTACACAGGGAGGAAAATGCTGTTCAGGGAGAACCTGACTAAAGAGCTGTGCATTTACAGCACGGTACAACCAGAATGGACATCAGCTGATGTCGGCTTTATGGTTGATGCACACTGGCAAACTTTGCACTACTAGCATCTTAAAAATTAAATTATTTTGTGAACTTTTTTTTTCCTTATTTTTTTTTTTACATATGCATAGAACCCAAGTTTCCTTGTAAGGAGACAGGTAAACCTTGAAATGAACTAGTTGAGATCTTCACTGTCCACCTACCAATTTCTGAGTATGCTTTCTCGTTGCCTGTCATCAGATATTTTTGTCTTACTAATTCTTACAAGGTTTTCTAAAGGCTGTAGTTATAGGAAAGCACATTTTAAGTGTGTTACCATGAAGCCCATAACATGTAAGTTTTCTTTCCAGCAGATCCTGCAAAATGAGCATGGGTTTTTTTATTAAAGGTTATAAAACTCCAAAGGTCTTGCATTTAATGAGCTCATTTTTCAATATCCCTTAGCAGTTTGAAAGTCTCTGAGTCAACATATCTACTACCAGAATGAGCCTGGGTGGGAATATAACCTTCTGAGGTAGGAATGAGAGCCAAAGGGTAGCTGACATGCTACTCTGACCCAGAGGTACATCCTGGCCTCAAAGCCATAATAGTGTTCACCAGTAGTAACCATGCAGACTGTTGAGGAAACCCAGGAAGAGAGAGGAGCAGAGTATTTCATGTATTCACAGTAATTTTTTGACAAATGGCACAGAAGCATCTGGATAAAGAAAATTAAACAAAACTTTGCTCTTTTGGACAGATACAGAACTGCTGAGTACGCCAGTCACCAAAGACAACCTTGGGCTAAAACTTTGCTTTTCGCAAAGAAGATGGAACATTACATTTTTCTTACCGTTTTATAGATCAGTCTGCTTTGAAAGGTAGTGCAAACATCTTGTGATGGCTTCTCTAGTTCACACTGACAGATTTTATAGCTACCGGAAGGGTTGTTAAAATTGTTTCCCCAGTCTTCAGCTCCTTTCAGCAATCCACAACATCGGTTCTGCAAGAAAGGAGGAAATGGGGAGATGAGGAAAAAAACTAGTGATTTTCAGTTTGAGGAGAGTAGGTGAGAGAGCTGAGAGGAACAATGAAGGACAAATTTTCTTTCATCTTTTACCATGTGGAAGTTGACCCCAATTGGTATGTCGCAACCACCCTTTACATTTGGTGTGACTCTTTGGGATGGTCCTGTGCAAGGCTAAGAGCTGGGCTCAGTGATCCTTGTGGGTCCCTTCCAGCTCAGCATATTCTGTGATTCTGTGATTTCCATACCAGTTATAAGAATGAAAGTGCACAAGTTAAAAAAAAAAAAAAAAAAAAAAAAAAAAAAAAAAAAAAAAAAAAAAAAAAAAAAAAAAAAAAAAAAAAA